TGTCTGCACTTCACTCCCTGTCCCAGCCAGCCCCAAACTGAAACTCCCTCCAGCCCCTCCTCCTCTGGGCTTTGTTCCTTTCCCGGGCCAGGAGGGCACCTGATTCCTTTGTTCTCGGACCCTTCAGCTCTCACCTTGCAGGGGGGGAAGGGCTCAGGCCATCAGTGGCCAGGAAACAGGGTGTCGGCCATTCTCTGTGTCCAGACTCCTGCACACACATGCCCTCTAGGGCTCTGCAATGATCATACACCCTTACACCACCCCCTAGATACTTAAGAACTGCCTGGGGGAAACTGAGGCACCCCCACACTATTCAGAGGAAACATTAAGAACAGTCCCACTTCATCACACCCTGCTAGCCCGGCCCTGGGCTCCCCCCAGCCCTGCCGATGCCCCTCACTCCCGACCCGCAGCCCCCTGCTAGCCCAGCCCTGGGCTCCCCCCAGCCCTGCCGATGCCCCTCACTCCCGACCCGCAGCCCCCTGCTAGCCTGGCCCCACCGGTGACCTTCACTCCCGACCCGCAGCCCCCTGCTAGCCCAGCCCTGCCCGTGCCCCTCGCTCCCGACCCGCAGCCCCCTGCTAGCCCAGCCCTGAGCTCCCCCCAGCCCTGCCGATGCCCCTCACTCCCGACCCGCAGCCCCCTGCTAGCCCGGCCCTGCCCGTGCCCCTTGCTCCCGACCCGCAGCCCCCTGCTAGCCCGGCCCTGCCCGTGCCCCTTGCTCCCGACCCGCAGCCCCCTGCTAGCCCAGCCCTGGGCTCCCCCCAGCCCTGCCGATGCCCCTCACTCCCGACCCGCAGCCCCCTGCTAGCCCAGCCCTGGGCTCCCCCAGCCCTGCCGATGCCCCTCACTCCCGACCCGCAGCCCCCTGCTAGCCCAGCCCTGGGCTCCCCCCAGCCCTGCCGATGCCCCTCACTCCCGACCCGCAGCCCCCTGCTAGCCCAGCCCTGGGCTCCCCCCAGCCCTGCCGATGCCCCTCACTCCCGACCCGCAGCCCCCTGCTAGCCCAGCCCTGGGCTCCCCCCAGCCCTGCCGATGCCCCTCACTCCCGACCCGCAGCCCCCTGCTAGCCCAGCCCTGGGCTCCCCCCAGCCCTGCTGATGCCCCTCACTCCCGACCCGCAGCCCCCTGCTAGCCCGGCCCTGCCCGTGCCCCTTGCTCCCGACCCGCAGCCCCCTGCTAGCCCAGCCCTGGGCTCCCCCTTCCAATTGCCAATGAGGCAGCGCCCTCTGCTGGCTGCTCTGCGGTTTTGCAGCTCGATTAACCATTTGAACCCTGAACCGCTTAGACGACGTGGGTCGATTCTAGGAGAGGGATTTTCGCGGGGGGTGGGGGTGTTTGCTCTGTATGTGGGTGGTGGGATATGGGGGGAGGGGCTCCGCTTTGGTGTCGGGGAGGGGTGTCTGGTTTTCATTTAAATTCCCCTGTTGCCTCTTGAACCTAATGATGGGGCGGGGCAGGACCTGAGCTGCTGAGTCACATGGTGAGGATCTGAGGGGTGGGGCTGGGGTGGCTATGGGTGTGGCTAGACGGGAGCCACGCTCACATGGCTGCCCAGTTGTGTGGGGCCGTGGCACTGTCCTGTGTGGTGTTCACAGCACCCTGGTTGCTCTGCAGATGGGCAGCTTTTCAACGAGGTGATGTGGAGTCTGCAGGAGCTGAGAGAGACCTTCACAAGCCTCATGGCCCGATTCCAGAGAGAGGGTGAGGGAAGGTGCACCTCACTCCTGACCCACAGCCCCCTGCTAGCCCAGCCGTGTTCCCCCCAACCTCTGCTGGTGCCCCTCACTCCCGACCCGCAGCCCCCTGCTAGCCCAGCCCTGTTCCCCCCAAGCCCGGCCGGTGCCCCTCACTCCCGACCCACAGCCCTGTTCCCCAGGGGATTGGGGGGGGGATGGGCTCCATTTCTCACCCTTCTTCTTCCTTCTTGTTTTGCAGTTTTTTGCCCGAATAAGTGTGGTGAGTGGGAGCTGGAGGGGGGGGGGCAGGGACAGATCCTGGGGGGTTCCAGGGACCCCATCTCTGATTCCCTGGGGGGGGGTCAGGGATCTCCGTGCTGGGAGGGTCCTATCCTTGACTGCACTCCAGGCCAGGGCGCCCTGACCTCCTAATGCTAACCCCCCTGCAGCTGTTCAGGGCCTCCCTGCTGACCCCCAGTAATCCCTCACCTCCCGCCAGCCCTTGAATGCCTGGGTCCAATTCCCCCAGCAAGTCAGGTTCTGACCCCCAGGACACTGGCACCAACCTTACTCCCCGAGGGGCCATCCCCCCACCCCAGCTTCTGGGGCTCTGATTCCCCCCTGGGCTCTGACCCCTGTCTCTCTGCAGGGCCCTAACCCTGACACCCCCTGGGCTCTGACCCCTACCATCCCTGACACTCCTCTTGGCCCTGATCCCTGCCTCTCTGCAGGGCTCTGGCACCCCCCACCCCCCCGGGGCCCTGACCACCACCTCTCTGCAGGGCTCTGACCCACCCCTGGCTCTGACCACCCCTTAGGCCCTGACAGCCCCCCGGCTCTGACCTCCCCACTGGGCTCTGACCCCCGCCTCTTCGCAGGGTGCATGGTTCACCAGTTCATCGACTGTCGGGCCTGTGGCACCGAGATCTACTCCTGCAACCGGGACCTGCGCTGTGGGGGTGAGCGGGGGGTGCCAGGGAGGGATGGAGGGGTCAGACGATGTGGAGGGGTCGACTGTGAAGGGATTCGGGGAGGGTCTAGAGGCCTCCAGCCTGTTTTGGGGTTTCACTCTCAGGCTCCAGGGCCTGACTCCTCCTGCAGGGTCAGGAAGGAAAATCCCCTCCACACCACATGGTGAGGTGTATTGTGGGTTACGATGGGGTCCCCTCTATCTGACTTTGGCCACTGTCAGAAGCTGGACTGGATGGGCCCATTGCTCTGACCCGGGGGGGGTACAGGGAGGGATGGGCCAATTGCTGTGATCCAGGGCACACTGCTGGGGTCGATGTGGGGGGTGTTACTGGGGTGGATGAGATGGTCGGGGGGGGGGGGTATGAGCTCTGATCTCTGGGTCTCTGGCAGAGCGGAGGCTGCAGGTCCAGCAGGAGGACGACCTGATCCTGGACTGTGCCTTGACCTGGCACCGTGCCAGCTACGGGGCCAAGAGCTACCGCTTCTACCGGGTACAGGGCCCCTCACTCCCGACCCGCAGCCCCTGCCAGCCAGTCCTGCCCCCCCCAGCTCTGCCGGTGCCCCTCACTCCCGACCCGCAGCCCCTGCCAGCCCAGCCCTGAGCTCCCCCCCAGCTCTGCCGGTGACCCTCCCGACCCGCAGCCCCTGCCAGCCCAGCCCTGAACTTCCCCCCCCAGCTTTGCCGGTGCTCCTCACTCCTGACCCGCAGCCCCTGCCAGCCCAGTTCCTGCCCCCCGCAGCTCTGCCGGTGCCCCTCACTCCCGACCCGCAGCCCCCTGCTAGCCCAGCCCTGGGCCCCCCCCCCCAGCTCTGCCGGTGCCCCTCACTCCCGACCCGCAGCCCCCTGCTAGCCCAGCCCTTGGCCCCCCCCCAGCTCTGCCGGTGCCCCTCACTCCTGACCCGCAGCCCCTGCCAGCCCAGTTCCTGCCCCCCCCGCTCTGCCGGTGCTCCTCACTCCCGACCCGCAGTTCCTGCCAGCCCAGCCCTGAGCTCCCCCCCAGCTTTGTTGGTGACCCTCACTCCCGACCCGCAGCCCCTGCCAGCCCAGCCCTGAGCTCCCCCCCAGCTTTGCCAGTGACCCTCACTCCCGACCCGCAGCCCCTGCCAGCCCAGCCCTGAGCTACCCCCCAGCTTTGTCGGTGACCCTCACTCCCGACCTGCAGACCCCTGCTAGCCTGGCCCTGGGCTCCCCTCAGCTCTGCCGGTGCCCCTCACTCCCGACCCCCAGCCTGCCTGATCCCTGTGTCTCTCCGGCAGGTGGTGGGGGGCGTGGAGCAGGTCATAGTCACGGGCCCCGATGCCTTCCTCGTGAAGAAAGAGGCGACAGTGAAGGACTCGGGGCTCTATCGCTGCGAGATGCTGAACACCCAGGGCTGGGTCTGCTCCGAGCTGCGCTTCCAGGTGACAGGTGAGGCGGACAGAACCCAGGAGTCCTGGCCCCCAGCCCTTCCCCCCAGTTCTAACCACTAGCCCCTACTCCCCTCCCAGAGCTGGGAGAGGAGCCAGCCCCCCCCTCCCCGCTCTAACACCTGTCCCCTCCCCATTGCAGTGACTCCCCTGCTGGGGAATAGCACCTCACCGCCTTTGCCGCCCCTGCTGGGGCCCCTGACGCTGCCCCCCCCACCACGGAGCCCGACCCCCCTGGGGGGGCCTGGAGACTGGACCGTCTGGGTCATCATCGGGAGCAGCGCCGGGCTGGTCCTACTGCTCCTCGGGGGCTGGTGAGTCCAGATGCCGGGGTCCCCCTCACCCCTTCCCCCAGGGGGGCAGGGCCCCCATGTGCCAGGGTCTGCGTGTCTGGGGGAGGATGGGGGGAAAGGCCTGTGCCAGGGTGGGGGGAAAGGCCCGAGCCAGGGTGGGGGGCAGATGCTGCCTCTGTTTCCCCCCCACCAACAGCTCCCCCACTCTCCTTCCCTAACCCGCCTTCCCCACCCTACAGCGCCTGCGTCTATCGCCGCCAGCAGAAGGTGCCCGAGGAGGACGGTGGCAGCCAGGGGGGGCAGCTGAAGACATGACCTGCCCCCCCTCCGGAACCAACCCCCCCGCCAGCCCAGCACTGGTTCCTCCCACCTCCGAGGCGAGGGGGGTACTGGACCCCCTCCCCCCGCTACGTTGAAATAGATGGGATTTTATTGCCAACGCACTGTCGTCCCAGACTCCCGGGTTCTGTCCCCGCTTTGGGGAAGGGAGCAGTGTCTAGTGGTTGGAGCAGGGTGGAGGGGGGAGCTGGGAGCCAGGACACCTAGGTTCTATGCCAAACTCATTGTGCCTCAGTTTCCCTCCCTATGGACAACCCCTCAGCTGACCCCGCCCTGCCCAGCTGGAGTTAAAAACCACAGAGGCAGCCGGTGCAGTGGGAAGGGGCTTTATTGTGTGGGGGGAGCAGCTTGGCTTCCAGAAGTCCCCCTCGACTGACCCCTTCCCCCAGCCAGCACTTGGGGGAAGGGCCTCCCGATCCATGTGGGCGGAGCCATCAGAACTGTGGAGCTGGGGCGGGGGTTTGAACGAGGCTAGGCAGTTCCAGGTGTATTGGGGGGGTTGGATATAAGTGGGGGTTTCTACTCAGTCCCCTGTGAATCGGGGCTCATGGGAGGCCAGAGCCTCCACTGCCCCCCCCACAGTGATGTGTGTGATAACGAGCCCCTACCCCCACTCTGGGGAGCAAACAGGAGTTGAGCTCCGCTGTTGTGAGCTTCCCCACGGCAGTGCCCCAAAGGGGTTGCGAGCTTCCCCACAGCAGTGCCTGGGGGGGGGGGCTACGAGCTTCCCCACAGCGGTGCCCTATCACCCAATCAGTCCAAATTTCTCAGTAGCCTTTGGCCACTGTCAGCTCCCGCCCCCCCCGTGCTACGACACCTCCCCCACTAGTTCAGCCCCCTTAGGGAGCTGCCCCCTCACCAGTGGTCAGAGACTCCCCACCCCTTAATTATCAGGCAGGGCACAGTGGGGGTGGGGGGGACGGGGTGTAAATGGGAGGAGGCCAGGAGCTGGGGGGCAGCCTGGGTGGGAGGAAGGAGGTGAAGGGCTCTGGGAGGAGGGGAGGACCCGGTCCCAGTGGGGGGAGAGTGAAAAGGGCCGGGGGCGGCAGCGGGAGTGGGGCAGCCCCCAATAGAACACTAGGCTCAGAGATGGTACAGTCCAACCAAGATGGCGTCTACAGTCACCATTTCCCACCTCCCTCTGCCAGTAAAACAAGAGGTTAAAAAAAATGGTACGATCCGTCCAAGATGGTGTCTAGAGTTGGCCACTCCACTCCCAACCCAGCTAGATCCAAAGATGGTACAATCCAAACTAAGATGGTTTCCATAGCCTCCCCTCTGGTCAGTAAGACACTGGAGTCAAAGGTGGTATGTCCCAAACAAGATGGCATCCCACAGGTGGAGTTGCCTTCCACCTGCCAATGAAACACTCAGGTCCAATTAAATGGTACGGCCCAAATAAAGAGGGCATTTGGACTTGGCATCACCCCAAGCACCAATGACTGGACCAATCCAAGATGGCACTTGGAGCTGACGTGACTCAAACACCAGTGGTCTGATCCATTTAAGATGGTGGTGGAAGCTGGCATCACCCCCAAACAATGGCTTAACCATTCAAGATGACAGCTGGAGCTGATGTGACCCTGAACAGTTATGGTATGACTTACATAAGATGGCAGCCACGCACCGTATCACTCTGAACACCAACAGTTTGATCCTTCCAAGATGCCCCTTGGGGCTGACAACCAAAACAGCAATGGTTTAATCCATCCAAGATGGCATCCAGTGTTGACGTCACCCAGTAAAATGGTTTCACCCATCCAAGATGGTGTCTGGAGTTGGCATCATCCCCAAGCAATGATTTCATCCATCCAACATAGCATCCAGTTGGCTTCACCAATCAATGGTGGTATCCCGAGCTGATGTCAACCCCAAACAATGGTTTCACCCATCAAAGATGGCATCTGGAATTGATATCACCATCCAAAATGGCACCTAGAGTTGACGTCACTGCAAACAATGGTTTCACCCATCCAAGATGGCACCCAGAGTTGATGTCACCTGGAGTAATGGTTCCAAATATCCAAGATGACACCTGCAATTGAGGTCATGCCAAATAAGGGTTCAACCTATCCAAGATGGTGCCGGGAGTTGACGTCACTGAGAATAATGCTTCTACCCATCCAAGATGGCACCTGGAGTTGATGTCACCCTGAACAATGGTTCCACCCATCCAACATGGCGCCCGGATTGACATCACTCCGAACAATGGGTCCAGTCATGCAAGATGGTGCCCAGAGTTGACGTTGCCCGTCCAAGATGGCGCCCGCATTGGTGTGATTGGTTGGCGTCTCTGGGGTGGCGGTGGGGGGCTCCCCATGGCCGGGCCAGGGAGGCCCGCACCCCCTACCACTGCTCCACCATCAGGTCAATCATGTGGTTGACGCTCAGTTCGGGCGAGTCAAAGAAGTCAGTGGAGAAGATGCTGCTGCTGCCGGGGGCACCGGGCCCCATCCCTGAGGCCGGGCCAGCCGTCAAGGCCTCCAGCCAATCGACGGGGTCGAAGGCGGGCCGGGGGCCGGGCGATGGGGGCCCCTCCGGGGGCTCCGGGGAGAAGACCCCGCGCAGGGAGTCCGAGGGGGACGAGGAGGAGGAGGAGGGAGGGGTGAGGAAGTCGTAGTGGCCAGGGAAATCCAAGATGGCCGCTGCCGACGGGCTGCGACGGGGCTTCTTGCTGGGTGCCCCCTGCTGGCTGAGGGGCGAGGAGGGCCGGCGTGGCTCCGTGGGGAGCAGCAAGGGGGCATCCGTGGGGAGCAGGTCACCTGGAGAGGGGGTGTTGGGGGGTTAGATAGACATGGGATGCTGAATGGAACTCCCCATGCCGCTCCCCGCAGCCCAGCGCCCCCCGCTGAGCCCTCCTCCCCTGCTTTCTGCAGCCCAGCGCCCCCCGCTGAGCCCCCCATGCCGCTCCCTGCAGCCCAGCGCCCCCCGCTGAGCCCCCCATGCCGCTCCCTGCAGCCCAGCGCCCCCCGCTGAATCCCCCTCCTCCGTGGAGCCCCCTGCCCAGCTCCCCACAGCCCAGGGCCCCTGGCCGAGCCCCCTGCACCATGGCACCCCATACACCAGGCTGGGGCAGGGAGGGCGAGTGCTGAGGGCGGGGGGGTGTACCTGGCTCTCACCTGCACACCCCAGCGGCTCCTCCAGGATGTCTTCAATCGACTGACTTGGGACCAGCTGTGGACGGGGAGGGAGAAAGGGAGTGAAGGGCAGAGACTGGGGCACGGCCCCTCTGGGGTGGAGCACGGGGGCTGGGTATATGGGGACCCCCCCCCCAGTACCTGGGCTTTCTGGATGGCCTCCTGCAGCTCCTCCTCCAGGGAGCGGGGGGCCGGGGCGGGGCTGGCCGTGATCTGCAGGGGCAGTTCTAGGTCCTCCCCGATTGGCTCACAGGAAGGGGGGCAGAAAACCTGAGGGGGGAGGGACACGGGGGTAAATTTGAGAGTCCCCCAGCTCATCCCCTGCTCCCCACATAGCCCTTTGCCCCTCCCTCCTTGGCTAGGCCCCGCCTCCCTCTGAGTGCCCCTCCCCTACCAGCTGGTCATGACCCCGCCCCCTCAACCACTCCCCGCTTACCTGGGATGCCCCACCCTCTCTGATTGCTCCGCCCACTCCAATTATGGTACGGCCACACCCACTGCCATGCGCCCCGCAATTTGGCCCATCCTCCCCGCCCCTGATCATGCCCTGCCCCTTGGCACACATGCCCTGGCCCTGATCATGCCCCGCCCCCAACACGCATGCTCCCACCCTAATCCTGCCCCGCCCCCTGGCACACAAGCCCCGCCCCCGGCACACATGCTCCCACCCCGATCCTGCCCCGCCCCTGGCACACAAGCCCCGCCCCCGGCACACCCGCCCTCACCCCTGATCCTGCCCCGCCCCCTGGCACACAAGCCCCGCCCCGATCATGCCCCGCCCCCTGGCACTCAAGCCCCGCCCCCGGCACACCCGCCCTCACCCCCGATCCTGCCCCGCCCCCTGGCACACAAGCCCCGCCCCCGGCACACATGTTCCCACCCCGATCCTGCCCCGCCCCCGGCACACAAGCCCCGCCCCCGGCACACCCGCCCTCACCCCTGATCCTGCCCCGCCCCCGGCACCAACCCCGCCCCGGACACCCGCCCCACCCCTGATCCTCCCCGCCCCCGGCACACAAGCCCGCCCCCGGCACACATGCTCCCACCCCGATCCTGCCCCGCCCCCGGCACACAAGCCCCGCCCCCGGCTCTCACCAGGAAGCCCTCTCTCCCGGGGGCCGTGCCCTCGGCGGTCTCCCCGGCGGGGGGCTGGGGGCCGTGGCTGGCCAGGGGCGAGGGGGGCCGGGGCTCCCCCTCCGGGCGGCCTCGCCGGCACTTGCGCAGCTGCAGCTCCTCCCGCAGGTCGTCGGCCTCCTGCTGCTCCCGCCGCAGCTCCCAGGTCAGGCTCTCAATGAGCCGCTGCTTCTCCCTCAGCGCCCGGTCGGCGGGGGGCGGCCCCGGGGGGGGCGGCCCCGGGGCCCCCCGCACCTGGAAGGGCTTCAGCCGCTCCAGCAGGGCCGGCTTGGTGCCCGACACCGGCTGCCCGCGCTGGCGCAGCTGCTGCCGGAGCTCTGACACCTGGGGGTGAGGGGGGTGTCGGGGGGGGGCACAGACGGACGCCCCCGTTCCACCCCCCCAAGGATGTCTTCTTGGCAGAGGAGGGAGCCCCTCCAATCCGCTAGCCCCTCCCAAGCTCCCTATCCCTGTAATCCCCCCACCCCCCAACCCCTCCCCGCCCCCTCATCATCCCCCCACCCCTCCAATAACCCCCTCCCCGCCCCTCATCATCCCCCCACCCCTCCAATAACTCCCCTCCCCGCCCCTTCACAGCCCCACCCCTCCAATAACCCCCTCCCCGCCCCCTCATCATCCCCCCACCCCTCCAATAACCCCTCCCCGCCCCCTCATCATCCCCCCACCCCTCCAATAACTCCCCTCCCCATCCCTTCACAGCCCCAGCCCCACCCCTCCAATAACCCCTCCCCGCCCCCTCATCATCCCCCCACCCCTCCAATAACTCCCCTCCCCGCCCCTTCACAGCCCCACCCCTCCAATAACCCCTCCCCGCCCCCTCATCATCCCCCCCCCCCCCCCCTCCAATAACCCCTCCCCGCCCCCTCATCATCCCCCCACCCCTCCAATAACTCCCCTCCCCGCCCCTTCACAGCCCCACCCCTCCAATAACCCCTCCCCGCCCCCTCATCATCCCCCCACCCCTCCAATAACCTCCCCTCCCCCCCCTTCACAGCCCCAGCCCCACCCCTCCAATAACCCCTCCCCGCCCCCTCATTATCCCCCCACCCCTCCAATAACTCCCCTTCACAGCCCCAGCCCCACCCCTCCAATAACCCCTCCCCGCCCCCTCATCATCCCCCCACCCCCACCCTTCCAATAACCCCTCCCCGCCCCCCTCATCACTCCCCTCCCCCCACCCCTCCAATAACTCCCCTCCCCGCCCCCTCACAGCCCCAGCCCCACCCCTCCAATAACCCCTCCCCGCCCCCTCATCATCCCCCCACCCCTCCAATAACTCCCCTTCACAGCCCCAGCCCCACCCCTCCAATAACCCCTCCCCGCCCCCCATCTCCCCCCCCCCCCCACCCCCTCATCACCCCCCAGCCCCACCCCTCCAATAACCCCTCCCGCCCCCTCATCATCCCCCACCCCTCCAACCTCCCCTCACAGCCCCAGCCCCACCCCTCCAATAACCCCTCCCCGCCCCCTCATCATCCCCCCACCCCTCCAATAACTCCCCTTCACAGCCCCAGCCCCACCCCTCCAATAACCCCTCCCCGCCCCCTCATCATCCCCCCACCCCTCCAATAACTCCCCTCCCCACCCCTTCACAGCCCCAGCCCCACCCCTCCAATAACCCCTCCCCGCCCCCTCTCATCATCCCCCACCCCTCCAATAACTCCCCCCTCCCCCCACCCCTTCACAGCCCCAGCCCCACCCCTCCAATAACCCCTCCCCGCCCCCTCATCATCCCCCCACCCCTCCAATAACTCCCCTCCCCACCCCTTCACAGCCCCAGCCCCACCCCTCCAATAACTCCCCTCCCCGCCCCCTCATCATCCCCCCACCCCTCCAATAACTCCCCTTCACACCCCCCAGCCCCACCCCTCCAATAACCCCTCCCCGCCCCCTCATCATCCCCCCACCCCTCCAATAACTCCCCTCCCCGCCCCTTCACAGCCCCACCCCCACCCCTCCAATAACCCCTCCCCGCCCCCTCATCATCCCCCCACCCCTCCAATAACTCCCCTCCCCGCCCCTTCACAGCCCCAGCCCCACCCCTCCAATAACCCCTCCCCCCCCTCATCATCCCCCCACCCCTCCAATAACTCCCCTCCCCGCCCCTTCACAGCCCCAGCCCCACCCCTCCAATAACCCCTCCCCACCCCGTCACAACCCCCCCACGCCCATGACCCTCCCCCCATTCCCTCACAACCCCCAAATCCCCACTCCCCATTTCCTCCTCCTCCACCCTGGCAGCCCCCCCGCCAGTCTGCCCCCATGGGGGAGCAGGAGAAAGATCAGGGTCCTCCCCAGCTTTGCCCCCTCACAGACACACTCACTGTCAGGTCATCCAGGTTGGCAGGCAGCAGCTCAGGCTTGGGGGGCACAGGAGGGGTGAGGGGTGTGGGCGGGGCTGCCAGGGTGATTTGGGGGGCCGCGAAGGTGATCACCGGATCTGGGGAAATACTGGGGGGGGCAGAGAGAGAGGAGGAGTTAGAGGGGGGCAGATTCAGTTAGGGGGGATTGAGAGGGTTCAGTGGGGGTTGGGGGTAATTGGCGCTCAGGGGGCACAGGGAGTTCAGGGGGATACCTGGCACTCAGGGGGTGCAGGGGGAGTTGGGGGATACCTGGCACTCAGGGAGTACAGGGGGGTACGGGGGGGGTACCTGGCACTCAGAGGGTGCAGGGATAGTTGGGGGGTACCTAGCACTCGGAGGTGCAGGGGGGTACCTGGCACTCGGGGGTGCAGGGGAAGTTGGGGGGTACCTGGCACTCAGGAGTGCAGGGGGGTACCTGGCACTGAGGGGGTGCAGGGATAGTTGGGGGGTACCTGGAACTCAGGGGGTGCAGGGAGGTGCAGGGGGGGTACCTGGCGCTCAGGGGGTGCAGGGGGAGTTGGGGGGTACCTGGCACTGAGGGGGGGGGGTGCATGGGGGTACCTGGTGCTCAGGGGGTGCAGGGGGAGTTGGGGGGTACCTGGCACTCAGTGGGTGCAGGGGGAGTTGGGGGATACCTGGCACTCAGGGAGTACGGGGGGTACCTGGCACTCAGAGGGTGAGGGATAGGGGAGTACTACCCGGAGGTGGGGGGTACCTGGCACTCAGGGGTGCAGGGGAAGTTGGGGGTACCTGGCACTCAGGGGTGCAGGGGGTACCTGGCACTGAGGGGGTGCAGAGATAGTTGGGGGGTACCTGGAACTCAGGGGGTGCAGGGGGGGTACCTGGCGCTCAGGGGGTGCAGGGGGTGCAGGGGGGTACCTGGCACTCAGGGGGTGCAGGGAGGTGCAGGGGGGTACCTGGCACTCTGGGTTCAGGGAGGTGCAGGGGGGTACCTGGCACTCAGGAGGTGCAGGGATAGTTGGGGGGTACCTGGCACTCAGGGGGTTCAGGGAGGTGTAGGGGGGGTACCTGGTGCTCAGGGGGTGCAGGGGGAGTTGGGGGGTACCTGGCACTGAGGGGGTGCAGGGGGTACCTGGCATTCAGGGGGTGCAGGGATAGTTGGGGGTACCTGGCACTGAGGGGGTGCGGGGGTACCTGGCACTGAGGGGGTGCAGGGGTAGTTGGGGGTACCTGGCACTGAGGGGGTGCGGGGGTACCTGGCACTGAGGGGGTGCAGGGGGAGTTGGGGGGTACCTGGCACTGAGGGGGGGGGGGGGGGGGTACCTGGCAGAGGGGGTGCAGGGGGTTGGGGGTACCTGACTGAGGGGGTGGGGGGCTGGCACTGGGGGGTGCAGGGGGAGTTGGGGGGTACCTGGCACTGAGGGGCTGCAGGGGGTGCATGGGGGTACCTGGCGCTCAGTGGGTGCAGGGGGAGTTGGGGGTACCTGGCACTGAGGGGGTGCAGGGGGAGTTGGGGGGTACCTGGCACTCAGGGGGTGCAGGGCTGGCACGCACAGCGCTGTGGGGGGTCCCGGGGGGGCCGGCGGCTGCTGTCGCTGCAGGATCTGGAGCTGGAGAAAAAGCTGCTGCTGCTGGAGCAGGCGGGCGTAGGCGGCGTCCAGGGGGGCCGGGGCCCGGGGGGGCCGGGCCGCGGGGGGCACGTACTGGTGGTACTTCAACTTCCTCACCTTGGGCTTGGGGTCCTTTGCCTTCTTGGGGCGTGGGGGGGCCTGGGGAAGGGGGGAGAATCTGGCTGGGACCCACCCAGTGGGGCCCCCTCCCCCACCCCACCCCACTACTGGGATCACCCCAACTCCAGCCTCACATCCCCCACGGGAACACCCCAATTCTGCGCCCCCCCACTTCCCAGCTGGGGCATCTCAATGCTGGCCCCGCTTCCCCATCCCCCCGCTGGGACACCCCAACACCCACCCCCTGGATGGGACACCCCAGCTCCAGCCCCCCTACAAACCCCTCCCAGTTCCTGCTGGGGACCCGTCCCACAGCCCCCACCCCCGGTCCCATCCCAGCCTGGCACAGACCTTGGGCAGCGAGGCCGGGGCCTTAGCCGGGGGGCTGCCCGCAGGAGTCTGGGAATTGGGGTCCGGGGCAGGCACCGAGGGGGGCAGGGACTCCAGGATCGACAGCAGCTCCGGCTGCAGGGAGAGGGGCCCAGAAAGCCAAGGAGTCACAGAGCAGGGATAGAACCCAGGAGTCCTGGGCAGCCCCCTCCTCCCCCCAACTCTAACCACTAGACCCCACTCCTCTTCCAGAGCCGGGGATAGAACCCAGGAGTCCTGGCTTGCAGCACCCCCGCCCCCCCCCCCCCGTGGTAACTGCAGTGGAAAAATCCAGACACCAGATGGCAGCAGAGACCTAGGGCACCCCCCAGCTCAGCCAGTGCCCCTCACTCCCGACCCGCAGCCCCCTCCTGTCCCCAGCTCTGGGCTCCCCCATGTATCTCACCTGGACAGCGGCCGCTGAGGCCGAGGGGGGGGATGGGTTGCCGGGGGGCCCCCCCAGGCAGGGGGTGAAGCACGGGGAAGAAGAGGAGGAGGACGATGAAGAGGTGCTGAGATCCTCCTCTAATAGGAAGGTCCCTGAGGCAGCAGGGGCTGGATCAGCTGCTGGGGGGGGGGGGGGAATTAGAGATGTCTCGAAAATTTCACCTGCCCCCCTGAGCCAGCCGGCCCCCCATCCCCAGAACGCATCCCCCCTATCCCAGTCCCCCCCCCCCGCTCTACCCACTAGACCCCACTCCCCTCCCAGATCCGGGGAGAGAACCCAGGAGTCCTGGATCTCAGCCCCCGCTCTACCCACTAGACGCTACTCCCCTCCCAGAGCTGGGGAGAGAACCCAGGAGTCCTGGATCTCAGCCCCCCCCCCCCCGATCTAACCACTAGAGCCCACCCCCCTCCCAGATCCGGGGAGAGAACCCAGGAATCCTGGTGCCTGCCCCACCTTTCACAGCATCTCTGAGGCTGGCGTCCAGGGAAAGGATGTTTTTCGTCACGAGTTCCAGCGGCCCCGGCCGTTGCAGGAGTTTCTCCTTCAGATCCTCGGCCAGACGCGTCTTCTTCTCCTTCCGCTCTGAGGGGTCCCCCCCAGACTCTGCCGGGGGGGGCACAGCATGAGTGGGGAGGGCACAGGTCATGGGTGCGGGAAGCCCAAGTACCATGCACTGATCTGGCTGTGCCAGTCATGGGACCCAGACATCTGGGAGAAGGAACCAGGACCCCAGGCAGGTGAGCCCTAGATGGGCTGGGGCAAAGGATTGGGGACCCAGATGTCCTGGTGGGGGGGACCCCAGATGAGCCGGAGTGTGGGATTGGGGACCCAGGTGTCCGGGCAGCACCTACCTTCTGTGAACTGGCCCTTGGCAGCTCCTGGTTTGTGGGTTCTCGTCTGGACTTTCACCTTCAGGGTCTCGTTGGCCTGTAAGGGGTGGGGGTCAGAACAGCCTGGAACAACAAAGGGGGGTATTGGGGTGCTGGGGGGGAGCAGGGCAGGAGCACTGGTTGCCGAGGGGTGGGAGTGGGGTCTAGTGGTTAGAGCAGTGGGGACTGGGATCCAGGGCTCCTGTTCTCTCCCCAGCTCTAGGAGGGTTGTGGCGTCTAGTGGTTAGAGGGGGTGGGGGGTGGGAACCAGGACACCTGGGTTCTCTCCTGGCTCTGGGAAGGGAGTGGGGTCTACTGGTTGGGGGGGGGGGTATTGGAACCAGGACTCCTGGATTCTCTCCCCTGCGAGTCCCTTCCCCTCTCTGTGGCTCAGTTTCCCCCACTGTCCAATGGGAATTTGACTCCCTTCCACCTGAATGCGTCTCCAGCACAATCAGCCCCTCCAGTGGGTGGGGGGGTCGTTTGCATATTCCATTACCCAGCCTGCCTTGCAGCAGCAACATAGCCACACAAGTCTCTCCTGCCCCCAGGCCATCCTGCTTGCTCACCCGGCTCTGCTCTGGGGTCCCGTTCACCTCCAGGTAGGTCGGGACAGGCTTGGTCAGAGCTGTGGGGAGAGATGAGAAGATTAGAGCCCTCCACCCTCAGTAGGAGAGGCGTCCCTGGACACCAAGGAGGGCTGCGAGGTTGGGCTCCATCACAGACATGCTGTGGTTGGTTACCCAACCCCTCCAGGGCCCCTGCCCCTGCCCCTGCCCCATGGACCTACTCCTTAACAGCCCTGCCCCATTCCAACCCCTTGGTCCCACTCACGTGTCAGGAGATGCTGCTCCTGGGATCTGCGATGCTGCATCCTCAGCTGCAGCACTGGGGGGGGGGGGGAGAAAACAGTCAGGGGGGGTGGGACCACCAGCCCTTCCCCCCAGGAATCCCCTTTTCCCCCACATCCCAGGGTCCCCCCCAGAGCTCTGCATGCAGCCCCACAATCCTGGGCAACCCCCCCAGCCCCTGCTGCCTCTCAGTTCCCACCCGGGAGGAAAAGGGGGGCAGGGGAGAGAAGCATGGGATTGGGGTGCATGGGGTGGGGCAGCAGAGGACCGGAGGGGGAGAAGGAGGGGCAGGTGGGGGAAGGGGTGGGGCATGGGAGGGGAGCAGCAGAGGAGGGGGGCGGGGCATGGCGCTCCCTTCTATTCTTATCCTCCCCCCGCCCCCCTAGCAGGTGTCCGGCGGGTGGCAGCTGGGATCAGGGGACCGAGAGCTATTCCGGGAGCCAGTAACATGAGACACCCCATCCCCCACAGGACCACCCTCTCCCCACCCCATATAACCCCCACCCATGAAATACCCCTGGGGGCTCAGCGGGGGGCCCTGTGCTGCAGGGAGGGACGGGGGCTCAGCGGGGGCGCTGGGCTGCGGGGGGCGGGGGCTCAGCAGGGGGCGCTGGGCTGCAGACTCTGGCTCTGAGACTGTGGGCTGCGGCTGGCTCTGGGGTGGCTGCGGCCGGCTGTTGAACAGGCAGCCAAGAGGAGATTTAGGACAGGAAGTGAAGGAGAAGCTCATTTCCGGGGGGGGGGATCCTGATTCATTAACCCCCACAGGGCTGCCTACTATCTCCCGGCAGAGCAGGCTGGCGGGGGCCCTGCAGCGCAGAGCTCCAGACCCCAGCTTGGGAGGGGGATGGTTATGGCCATGGGGGTTGGGGGATCACCCTGCCCCCTTTCCGCCACTGGTGCCACTCAGCCCCCCCCCCCCTCCGCCCTTTGGGGCTAAACCAGGGCCTGGGTTTTGCCCCGGCCAGGAGGGGGCAGGGTTGTTTTGTTCACAGACACCCCCCTCCCCCCAGCAGAGGAATCCCTTCAGCTCTGGGACCCAGGCATCCGGGCAGAGGCGGGACCTCAGGTGGGCCAGAATGAGGCCTTGGGGACCCAGGCATGCAGGACAGGGGAGCGGGGGGCCCGTTTCCCGGCCCCACTCACCGGATCGGAACTTGCTGCGGATCAGCATGGAGCGCTCGGAGGCCAGCAGGGTCATGGTCAGGGCTGGGGGTATCGAGCGCGAATGGGGGGGCACCTGGCTGGCTGCCCTGGGCTGGGGGGATCCCAAAACAATCCAGCAGGGAGGAGAGACAGAAGGAGAATGTGGGGGTCACAGATAAAGCTTGTGACTGAACAACCCCTCCCCCAAGAAAGGGGCCCCCATAAATTGAGGGAGATTAAAATGTCCCGGGGTGGATAATGGCATGCAGGGAACACTCAGAAACTCTCACTCAGTGGCTCCCAGCCCCCCTGTTCTAACCACTAGCCCCCACTCCCCTCCCAGAGCTGGGAAAGAACCCAGGAGTCCTGACTTCCAGTCCCCCACTGCGCTAACCACTAGATGCCACACCCCTCCCAGAGCCAGGGATAGAACCCAGGAGTCCTGGCTCCCAGCCCCCCTGCTCTAATCACCTCTCCCCTCCCCTCCCCTCCCCACCCCACCCCACCGCACCCCAAGCCAGGAAAGGACCCAGGAGTCCTGGTTCCCAGCACACCCCTCCCTCAGTTCTAATCCTGTTGGGACAGAGATTTTTTCCTGCATAGGGGGTCATTTTAATCCTAGACACACATCCCAGCTCCTTGCTGAGGGGGGAGGCTGGGATGGGGGCGCGGGCGGGGGTGAAGGGCAGATCTAGGGGGCTCTGTGTGGAGGGGGAGAGAACAAAGGGGAGAGGGGAGAGGAGATCTGGGGGCCGATCTAGGGAGCTTGGGGGACAGGATGGGACAGTTTAGAGACAGGCATATCTGGGGGGGGGGGGGGAGATTGGGAGGCAGGGTCAGACAGCAGAGGGACCTGGTGGGGCACATTCTGGGACATGAAGATCCAGAGGGCAGATTTCAGGGGGGCTATAGGGGGACAGATTTGGGAGATCAGATTTTGTGGGAAAGGGATTGGGGGCAGGTTTGAGGGCAGGGATGTCTTGGGGGGCAGATTTGGGGGGGCTGGGGCAGGACTGGGTGAAGGGAAATCGACTGGGGGTCAGGATTGGGGAGAGCGGTCAGGTTTGGGGGGATCCAGTTGGGGGATCTAGGGGCTGAGTTATGGGTTGGAGGCTCTAGGGAGCAGGTGGGGGATCAGGTGGCCCCAAGGAGCAGGTTGGGGGATCAGGGGGTACAGGAGGCCAATTTGGGGGATTGGGGAATTCCAGGGGGTGGGTAGTGGGGATTGGGAGCTCCAGGGAGCAGGTTCGGGCCCCAGGAGGCAGATAGGGGGGTCAGGGGCACTTTGGGGGATTGGGGCTCCAGAGGGCAGGTTGGGGGGATCGGGGGCCCCAAGGGACAGGCTGGGGAGATCACAGGGCTCCAGAGAGTGGGTTGAGGGGATTGTGGGGCTCCAGAAGGCAAGTTGGAGGCCCCCAGGGGGTGGGTTGGGGGTATCGGGAGGCAGGTCAGAGGGATTGGGGGCCCCAGAGGGTGAGTTGGGGGGATCGGGTCTCAAGGGGGCAGGTTGGAGGCTCCAGGGGTTGCATTGTGAGGATTAGGGGCCCCAAGGGGCAGGCTGGGGGGATCATGGGACCCCAGAGAACAGGTTAAGGGGATTCCAGATATCAGGGGCCCTAGAGGGCAGGCTGGGGGGATCGGGTCTCAAGGGGGGAAGGTTGGAGGCTCCAGGGGGCAGGCTGGGGGATTGGGGGCTTCATGGGGGAAGTTGGGGGTATCTGGTGCCCCAGGGGGTGGGCTGGGGGGATCACAGGGCCCCAGAGAGCAGGTTGGGGGGCCCAGGGGGTGGTTTAGGGGGATCAGAAGGCCCCAGGGGGCAGGTTGGAGGGACCGAGGGGCAGGTTGGGGGGAGTACAGGGCCCCAGAAAGCAGGTTGGGGGGATCACAGGGCCCAGGGGGTGTGTAGAGAGTATTAGGGTACCCACGGAGCAGGTTGGGGGATTGGGGGGCCCCAGGGGGGATGTTGGGAGATCAGGGGGGCCCAGGGGGCAGGTTGGGGGGATCATAGGGTGAGGTTGGGGTTATTGGGGGTCCCAGGAGGTGGGTTAGAGGGACCGGGGGGCAGGTTGGGGGATCGGGGCCTGAGGGGGTGGGTTGCGGGGATTGGGGCCCCAAGGGGCAGGTTGGGGGGGATCATGGGGCCCAGGGGGCGGGTTTCGAGTATCAGGGGCCCGGTTGGGGGATCGGGGGCCCCAGGGGGCATGTTGGGTGCATCGGGGGAGCTCCGGGGGCGGGCTGGGGGATCGGGCATCCAGGGGGCAGGTTGGGGGGATCGGAGGGCACCAGGGGGAAGGTTGGGGATCGGGGGGCAGGTTGGGGGGCTCCAGGGGGCAGGTTGGGGGGATCGGGGCTCCCAGGGGGAGGGCTGGGGGATCGGGAGGCCCCAGGGGGCAGGTTCGGGGATCGGGGTCCCACCCACCAGCGCCGCGCGGTGACTGTCCCGGTCGCTGTCCGGCCCGGCTCGGTCGGTCTCTCCCGCGGGTCCCGGCCCGGCTGCGTGGGGGGCGCTGGGGCCGGTCACGGGCGGGCTCTGCAGGCTTGGGGGGACGACCGCGGGCCGGTGATGTCACAGCTGCCCCGATAAAGAGGGGGGGCAGCAGCTGCGATCCCCCCCCACGTGTGAAAAGCCCCCACCTGCCGGTCACCCGACACCGCCACTCGCGCTGCTGGCTCAGCAGGGACCCGCCCCTGGGCTGACCCTAGACCCCACCCCCCTCCCAGAGCCGGGGAGAACCCAGGCGTCCTGCTCCCTACCCCCTCTCTAACCATTAGTCCCCCGTCCCCGCCCCCAGAGCCAGGGAGAACCCAGGAGTCCTGCTCCCTACCCCCTCTCTAACCATTAGTCCCCCGTCCCCGCCCCCAGAGCCAGGGAGAACCCAGGAGTCCTGCTCCCTACCCCCTCTCTAACCATTAGTCCCCACCCCGATCCCAGAGCCGGGGAGAACCCAGGAGTCCTGGGTTTGACCAGGAGAGGGGGATGTGACTCTTGCGCCTTCAGGAGTTAGTACGGGGGAGGGGGCGTGTGTGAGAGTCAGGACTCCTGGGTCCTTTTTCTGGCTCAGCACCCGAACTCCTCACTCCTCAGACACAGAGTCACCGAGATCGGGGCCCCGTCGGGCCGGGCGCTGCCCAAACACAGTCACTGAGATCGGGGCCCCGTCGGGCCGGGCGCTGCCCAGACACAGTCACCGAGATCGGGGCCCCGTCGGGCCGGGCGCTGCCCAGACACAGTCACCGAGATCGGGGCCCCGTCGGGCCGGGCGCTGCCCAGACACAGTCACCGAGATCGGGGCCCCGTCGGGCCGGGTGCTGTCCAGACACAGTCACTGAGATCGGGGCCCCGTCGGGCCGGGCGCTGTCCAGACAGAGTCACCGAGATCAGGGCCCCGTCGGGCCGGGCGCAGCCCAGACACAGTCTCTGAGATCGGGGCCCCGTCGGGCCGGGCGCTGCCCAGACACAGTCACCGAGATGGGGGCCCCGTCGGGCCGGGCGCAGCCCAGACACAGTCACCGAGATGGGGGCCCCGTCGCACTAGGTGTGGCCTGGACACACGTGTTGGGAGCTGGGGCTGCGCTGTGGGGCTGTGCCGAGGGCAGTTGCGGGGCCCAGGGCGAGCCAGGGACCGGCGCGCCGGGTGCCCTTTGCCGGCGGCTGCAGCGGGGCACTGGGGGATCCCGCGACAGGTGGCACCTGTCTCTGGCCGTCTGGCCTGAGCTGGATTTCACTGACACTGCGGATCAGTTTCAGCTGTGGGTATTTAGAGCCGACCTGATGCCCACCCTGCCCCCAGCCACGGTCCCTCCCACCCCGCACCCAGGCCCCGCCTCTGCCTGGCCCTGTACCCCCATGTTTCCCCCCTCCAGCCCCAGCTCCGTGCTGATGCTGAGCCAGACAAACGGCCAAACCAAAAGCACCTGCAGGGAAAACCCAGGTGGGGTGAGAGGGGCTCTGCCCCTACTGGAGTGTGGGCTGCTGAAGGGCAGACAGGATTCCTGGGTTCCATCTCCAGCTCTAGAGGGGGGAGTGGTGTCTAATGTGTAGAGCATGGGGGCTGGGAATCAGGACTCCAGGGTTCTTTCCCCTCGCCTCTGTGGGGACTGATCCCTGTCTCTGGGTGCCTGAGGGGTGGTTGGGGAGCAGGGCTGGGTGCTGTAGCTGTGAAGGGACCCTGGGGGGTGGCGGCTGCAGCCGGGCGCGATGAGCTCATGCGTCTTTCCCCAGCTAAAGTTTCCAGGATTAAATCACGCCCGGGATTGACGCCATTGATAAATATAGACCCAGCCGGGACAGCTCTGCTCTGACCACTAGATACCACTCCCCTTCCCCAGCCAGGGACTGTACCCAGGAGGCCTGGCTTCCAGCCCCCCCATGCTCTAACCACTGGGCCCCACTCTCCACCCAGAGCTCGGGAGAGAACCCAGGAGTCCTGGCTCTCCCCACCCCCACCACAAACACACCAGCAGGGGCAGCACTGGTCTCTGTCTCACACACACTCAGACCCCGCTGCTGGGAGAGGCCCCCAGCACCTCCTGCTGGCAGAGATGGGTGCTGACACAGAGACAGGGTTTATTGCTACACACAGTGGAATACACAGTTCGTCCAAGCCCAGGGGCTACGGGAACCCCATCGGGGTCCCAGCTCTCGCAGAGGAGAGGCACTTTGGGGGACTATTGGGGTGAAGCCCCCCACTGTCCAGGCCCTGTGATGTCTGTCCCCCCACGCTGGGGAGCCCGGGTAGGTGGGTCGGGTGTCGGCAGGTGCTCGGTGCCCTTGGTGCCAGCCGCGGTCACTGGCCGCCCTCCAGCCCATGGGCTGCCCGCTGGTTGGCTGGCAGCGAGGCCTGCTCCAGGTCCCAGAGGAAACGGCGTAGGCCGCACAACTGGCGGTGGAGGGCGTCGTCCGTCACTGGGGCCGTGGGGCAGAGCCGGAATCCCTCGTTGGGCAGGATCAGGGGTGGGTGGTCAGAGAAACTCTCGAAGATCTCACCTGGGGGAGGGGAGAGGGGTGAGAGCTGGCAGGGGCTGTGGATCGGGAGTGAGGGGCGCCGGCGGGGCTGCGGGGGGCAGGACTGCGGGTCAGGAGTGAGGGGCGCCGGCAGGGCTGGGGGGGGCAGGGCTGGGCTGGCAGGGGGCTGCGGGTCGGGAGTGAGGGGCGCCGACGGGGCTAGGGGGGGCGGGGCTGCGGGGCG